CTCTGTACCTCATGTCAGCTCTACCTTGATACAAAATCCAGGCTAAGCAAAGAACCATTACATACACTAAAAATGTCAGTCTAGAAACAGGAAAATTAGGCCATTGCTTTCTCTACATTCTCCAGTCTTAAACAATTCACTGTTTCTGAAAAGTGTTCAAGAGATTAGCAAAAAGACCCTTTTTTTACTTTTCAAATTCTTCCAAACTGACAATTTACATGGCTAGAGGGATCAAAAGCAGAACTATAAATTTTATTTTTAAGAATTCAGCATTTATAATTCAAATTTGTTTTCATTTCTGAGGTAGACTTAAAAATCCTTTCATGGAAGAACCGTAAATCATCTAATATTTAAATCGATGTCTCGGTTTCTAGTATGCAATTATTTTAAAAAAATGCTCTGTCTTGTGAACGTTAGGTTAACTGGCAAGTTATTTGTCTTGTTTTGTTTTTTGGAAATCTTAAAGGCTAGACTCGTGCTAATTTTGCCACAAAAGCATGTTACGCTAATAAATCACTAGATAAATCTGTCTTTGTTCTCGTGAGGGGAAAAAATAGCTATCACACATACTTAAGTATTATGAAATGTGTTTGGGGAGGTCAAAGTCATTCTGAGTCATGATTTTCATTGGATGGTACAGTTTTCCTTTCCTATTTTAAAGGGTAGATTCTTTTTTTTTAAAAAATGTAAAATCATGTACAGCTATTTGATGGATTTGGTTAATTCATTTTGAGGAAATAATAATGTACTTCAATCAAGTGATAACCACACCTACATCAGAAGAACTTATGACACAGAAGAAAACCTAGGGGAAATTCCCAAAACTTAAGTCAAAGAAATGACAATTTCATAAACCTTTTTTCTTAAGTGGACTGGGAGAGAAAGTGTGATGTGACAGCTGGAAAGTTAGCCAGACTTGGTGCTGGAGGAGTTGAAATTTCAGTTCCCAAGGCGCAGACCTAGTTTAGCTGCCTGAGATCTTCCAATTCATCGTCTGTGTGATGGAAAAATCAATTTATGTGCCTTTGTCTTGACATAGAAACCTGCGGCAGACTCCCCCACCCCCCAATGCTTCTCCCATGGGACTCACGGGCCCGAGGGTGCACCACAGGAGTTTCCTTCCATCACCAACTACATACGTAATTCACATTTAAAAAATCACTTTCTTAACCAGGAGACTGTACCTTCCATGAGGCAGGACCCAGGAACTCTTTTGATTCTTGTTTTGGCCACTACTTCTTGCCCAGCACTTAACCGGATCGGTGGCACACAGTAGATGCTTACCAAATATCCACTGTAAAATGAATAAGGAATGAATGAATACGAACTGTTTAAAGCCACTCCTCTTTCAAGTTGAGGAAATTTCCCCAGACAATTGACCACTTTTAAAAATCCCCTTTGGGCACCGCTGCATCTGTTATTTTGAGGTGCGGATGATTGCCAACATTCCGCTTCTTACCTAGGGCAGTCACACACTTTTTTAAAATGAACATCTCGCCACTGTGCTGACATTTGAAATACCAAAAGGAGGGAGCCAATCTCTTCTGTCACGGGCTTTTGATTTTGTCCTGGTTGAAACTCCTGCACTGTCTCTGTTCGGATGATTAACATCATTTGTGCTACGTCTCATTGTCCAAACTGCTAATATTTGTGTTTCCAAGGACGGTCCAGTCTGTCTGTGTCTGCCAGAACGACAATGTGATGACGTGTACGAACTTTTTCTCAAAGCACCGTATGTAACTGTTAGTGACTGACTGTGTGTGCCCCTCCCCCCTATCATTCATATGTTGAAATCCTAACCATTAGAGTGATGGTGTCAGAAGCTGGGGTCCTTCGGGAAGGGACCGGATCACGAGGTGGCACCCTTGTAGACGGGAGTAGTGTCCTTGGAAGAAAGCCCAGAGCACTCCCACGTACCTTCCTCCAAATCAGTGAGAAGATGCCGTCTGTGAACCAGGACGGGGGGATCTCCTTAGACACGAGCCTGTGGACGCCCTGATCTTGGACTTCCAGCCTCCAGGGCTGTAGGGAATGGATTCTGTTGTATGTAAGCCACCAGCCCATGGTATCGTGGCCCAGCAGCCTGCATGAACAAGATCACCACGGACGCTTATGACTCAGAAAAGCCCGTGCATATAATCATCAGACAGGTGCAAGACATGACAAATAACCTCCTAAAACATACAGTATTATGAGGCTCAGGGATGATGAAAACACTGCCAGGAGGTTTCCATTCCTATTGTGGTTATTCATCAAACTTTATCCTACCTAAACAGGTTTTCTCCCTGACAGCATTCTGTAATTTCAAGACCAGGTGACTATATGAAAAAAAGCCGCTAGGCAATTTTTTACAACTACTTTCCTCAACAATACTCTCAGATATCCAATGGTGATTTAGCTCCGGTCTTTAAAAGAACTGAAATAATTAGTTCTTGGTCAATGGCCATTTTAGTGTTTTCTAGTGACGGAAGTGATTCAAACCTTTGAAGCTGTCATTCACCTTTCTGGATATTTTTGGAGGTCAGAATTTTAAAGATTACTATTACCACGCTTCTTTTCTCTACCTTTATACAATGTCCTGACATTGGTTTGGAACCGTGAGAACCTGTTTGCTTACCTTTTTATTCCTTGCTAACTTATCTTGGATGTGAGAGGATCTGACTGGCAAACCACACCCTATAAAGCATGTTATCATGTCCTTGGCATGTGATGTGGCCTAGAACTTGCTGAGCTGTACCACGGACTCTGGAATCCCAGAAAATCGAACCTTATACCTGTGCTGACGGTCGTTACAAACGCTGGGCTTACTGATATTTTAGCAAGGTGTTGGAGAAAAAAATGCAGCAGGCTTTTACTAACCATCAGCTTGCGTTGAGTAATCACTGATCATTTGTTTTGTCTATTTTCTATTTCACTGGTCACCAGAAATAAAATTTATATGCATATGACAATATATAGTGATGATAAATGTTATATATAAATAAAATACCTATGTAAAAATGGTATTTCATACACACACACACACATACATACATGTTTGCCTGTAATCTACTTTTATTGGCATCTTTTATGTTTAACATTATTCATGCACGAATACAAACATTTCCCAGATCTTGTTTCTTGTATACTTGGCTCTTAATTATTATATTTTGGAGCAACAAACAAAACCACATTCAAATGAAATCATGGTGATTAAGTCCCCTGGGATGCCCTGAACTTTCCAGCAATTGCCAGAGTCTAACAGAGAAAATTTTCCATGGGATAAGTGTTTAGTATTTATTTTATAGTAACTAAAATAAGGTTGGGCATTCAATACAAATCTACAAAATAATACATTTTTTATTATGAATACTTACTGAAGCCCTAGCTAATCTTCCATGAATAATCTTTTGAGGTGGCAAAATATCCATATAAGATAATGCTTGTAGGAACCTGTGTTTACATACTTAATAATAGCGCTTACTTATATCTAAACAGCTGGGAAAATAATATTTTTAAATGGGACAATTAAAAAAATGCATCTTTAGATCTTCGTATTATAGCAGTATCAAATGTCAACCATATTGGATTTGCTAAAGTCATATGTCATTTTTAAATATTCTGCAAAAGACGAAATACTCAGATTAGTTTTTGAAACCATGGGGGTTGGAAGGAGAGGTGTATTATCTGATAAGAATGAATGCTTTATATTCCAAATCAGTTTAGAATTTTTCAATGTTCCCAATCAAGTCATGAATCCATAAACTGGGAGCAATACTAAAGATAATCTCATTCAATCCTTCTAGTTTTAAGGATCTGAGACCCTTGGAAATGAATGAGTCACAATGTGTACACAAAATCCTCAGCAAATGGAGGTAAAAGGAGACACAGAGAGAGCTTTCCGATCACCGTAGACATGTGCGTTCTTAGCTTTGCCTTTGAAGTGTTCCCCAGATGTAAAACTGCAGAGTCCTCCAAAGCTCACTGTATTCAAACTATCCTTTGCTACAAATCTGGTTTGGGCAGGAATCTTAGGAACTTAAAGCATGCTGCAAATACTAATTACACATGAGTATGTGGAGCATGTCAGAGAGCATAACTTGAAGAAGATAAATATTAGCCCCACTTGACTGTGATATCAAATAAGGTATAGAGGCTCCCCAAACTCATGCCAGGGCTGTGGACTTTGAAGAGGGTCCACAGATTCCTTTTCTAATGAGAACCACTCCCTCCCTGGGCTCCCTTCTCGTCCTGTGGAAGGGATTATGACAGAGCTTTACTGGCATACTGTATCTGGCCTTAGCATTCCCATGAAGAGTTACTTAGAACTGAGATGTCAAATCATCAGATGATACATTGAGTCTAGGTAAACAGGCGCCCAAGTAACCCACGTGTATTTTGAGAAACGAGTAACAGAGACCTACCTGGCCATGTGTTGACATATTGGTTGTGAACTGAATATCAATGTAGGAAGTTTCGTGTTTTCTTAATTTCATTGAAGAAGGGGCCCATGGCCCGCCAACCATGAAACCTAAATTAAAAAAAAAAACAGGAACCTATGAATGTGGCTAAGGCAGGTCTGTCTGGACTAGGCATTGCGGAGCGCACACCATGACCCCTTTAGGGGTCTGCATCTAAGGAAGGATGGGGCTCATTAAAGATGCTTTAATAAACTGGACGTGACACAAAGTGCAGACAGACGTGAGTCAATCTGCACGGGGCTTGGGCATAGGGAAAGGAATTTGGAGTGTCTAGACCTTACTTTTCTGGAGACTAACTTAGTCTTTGGGTAAGTGGTGAGACTGGCCCAGCCGATCTTTATTCATCACAGTGGTAGCTGGCGGCACATGGCCAAGAAGAGGCGACTGTCTCCCCTGGAAGTTCCCTTGGAATACGTCTGTGTCTGCACAACTGAATTCCATAATGCCAAAAGGGGGAAGGGATCCTGGTCTTGTATGTCCCTGTCAAGCTTTACCTTTGGCAGTAACCATTCATTCTGGGACACACTCCGCTGGACTGCAGTAATCAAACACTTGCATTTTATATTCACCATGTATTTTATATTCACATTGAGAAAAGCAACATCCGCTTGAAAAAAAAAATATCCACATTGCAGAATGACATACCTGTGACTCAGCCAGTTCCTGCAATTTACTCTGCCAGACTAAATCCTGCCTTTTGGGCTTATCTGTCTCGAGGACTGAGCATTAGCCTGGAAATATTCATAGAACAGGTGTAATTCAAATAATATAGAAAAGGTGGGCTTGTCAAATGAGGGCAGAGTTGGGAAATGCTCTGATGGCCTCAGATGAAAGTGGGGCCCTCATGGTGTGGGGTGAGCTGGTTTCAAAGAGGAGGCCCTTACCCTGTGTGGTGAGGAGTCCCTGGGCTTGGGCTTGGTGTAGGGGTGTGGGAGTCATGCTGCGTACATGGGATGCGATGCTAACAGCCTTGGAGGCCAGAAAGCTGGCTCCAGGGAGCTGACCACGCTGGTGGAAGAGCCTGTTCATGGGAAAGAGCGGTGGAAGATGAGAATCGATACCAGGTGTGACCGACCTGTCTTATGGGGCCCCCAGCGGCTCCTCAGAGGCCATGGCCTCCACTTCCTTCCTGCATTCCACGTTACCACCTTTTCCCACCACATTTCCTCCTGACACGCAGCAGATCAGAGGGCATCAATCTGCTGCCACTTCCTACAAGTTTGAAAGAAAGCCTGACGGATGGCTTTCCAGAACAAGGACGTTCTGACAGCCCCTTTACTGGAAGGGCATTTTTTCCCCTGGAGAAACCTGGAGGGGAAAAAAATAGAGAATGTTGGGTTGACGCTGATATCCAGATATGAAGTAGAAAAAAAATCATGGGTGACAAATTTTGCACACACAGAAATAGTCACAAATGATTTTCCTTCACTCTGTTTGACAACGTGTTATGTAAGAATGTTGTCCCTTTCTTTAATAAACCTTATTTTCATCTGTCTGTCCCAAGAGAGACCACTCACAATTCAAAGGCCATGTGGAGAATTTTCAAAACAAGAAATGTCGCTGGAAACCTGAGCACATTTTGTGGTGAGATGGGACCTACATAGATGAGGTGATAGCCTTTCTGTAGTTGGCTAGTACTCAAGTCAGGTGCAAATCATTTTCCCTAAATGTATGCTTCTCTAGGAGTGAATATTTGTGCACACAGACAGACAGACAGACAGGCAGACACGTTTATAAAGACACATATTGGGACAATATCTTTTTTAGGCTAAGCTTTATTCACCAAGAGCTCCTGTTCAGACAGTCAGCAAATGGGTCTGTCTGCTGCTCTATTTTAACACAGACACCACCACGTCTAGTAGTGGAGGGAAACATTAGAATTTTGCTTTAGATATTTTAGGAAAATATATGCACAAGTTTTACTAGGTGCTGTGAGCTGTTCCAACTGCTGCCTACAGAAAAGTCACTTGCAGACTTGGTGGGAGCCAGCCTTTGAAATCTCCGGGGTGAGGTCTTGCTGTGGGGGTCTCTAGGAAGGAGAGATTTACAGACCTCGAAGGGCCTGGGCCCACAAGCTGAGGGTTGCTTTCTTAGCTGTATATTTAAAAGTATATCACTTATCTGCATGCTCGGGACCTGTTAACGGGGGACTCTTGTGGAGAACCTGGAATCATCACGGAGTATCTGTCATAAAACAAAAACAGAGCTTTTGAATTGCAAATGTGCAGGCAGAATCCCAGCTCAAGAGAGCATGAAGCCAGACTATCGGCAACCTTGGATGTAAAAATATGCAGCAAAGTCTAGACCTGTTCTATTTACTTTCTTTTTTTTGCTGCTGTAAAAGTTTTTTTTTCTCTTTCTTTCTTCTCTCCCTGTTAAAAGAAAGTGGCTGGCCCGGCATGTTCATCAAAGCACTTCACCGAGAATGCGCTTGGATAGACTGCATTCAGAACACTGACTTGTGAAAACAAAGGGTTGTTTTGTAATGCACATAAATTATGTGCTTTAGAAAAAACAGAAGGTTCAGAATTCTTTAGTGTACTCTAGCCAGGGCAGGAGGGAGTTTAGCCTATTTTTCATTTCAGCACTGCTAAATAATGTTTGTTAAGGATCCCATGGCTGACAAAACTCAAACAGAAAAGCACAACACATTATGGCTTTCTACTTAAATTTATTAAAATTAAACTTAAATCAACATATATATTTATTGGGTATAAACCATGAGCCCGACCACACTGAATACTACTAGGAAGGCAAAGATGGACTAAAAATGTCAGAAGTTTTGGGGAAAGTATCTCCTCTATGTATCTAGTGGTCTGTGGATTCTAAGGACCTTGGGGTACATGATTTCAAAAAGTATTACCTCATTTCAAAGAAGCCCTTGATTTTATCTGGTTGAGGGTTCTTAAAATATCTTATTTAAAACCAAACTGTGACCTTGACGGATGGATGCCAGAGGGCACAGGCATGGAGATTCCACAAGCATAAGACCTCAGGAGTAAGGTCCCACCTAAGGTGTGTTAAGGTGGACGGTTTGATTTTTTTTGTCTGAACTAATATACAGAGGAAGAAACAGTGATAAAGTTCATAAAAGGCAGCACTGACAGTTAATTAAAACATTATGATACTATGAAGACTTGTTAAGAAAATGCTGTGATCAATCATTCAAGGAGCTCTCCTTCATAGTGACTAATTCGCAAATGGTGCGTGTGGTTGGGCCGGCGGGAGGTACGACAGGAGCCATCAGCCTTGAAAACAAGTGAACAGGTAAGAGAGAAAATAAAATGGATGTAGAATGTTGTCTGTAGATCTTGGTACATATTTGTGCAGTGAAGAGTTCAAAGATTACTTCAATGACTATAGGCTTGACCAAAGGTTAAGGTCAAACAGTTCTTTCATCATTTAGTAAAACCCAAACCGATCCAGACAATAAGGAATTTGACAGTTAAATGTAAGGAAACAGGTAAATAAGTGAATAAACAAATATAGCTGACAGCGACATCAAAGATACCAAATAGCAAGAAATAAATCTAATTATGTAAATATTGTACACAAGGAACACAGAAACTGTGGTGAGAATTTAAAGACCCAAGCAGAGAAATCTCTCCATTTTATACAAAGGACTCAGTACATTTAAGTATTTTGAGATTCATTCTCCCCAGCTTGATTTATAGGTTCAACGCAATTCCTATTAATAGTTCACCAGGTTTTTGGTGACAGCCGAGCAGTTGACACCTGAAATTTATATGGAAAGCCAAGAGCCTAAATTAGCCAAGATTTTCTTAGAGAAGAAGATCAAATATCAAGGACTTAATTTACCAGATATCAACACATAACAATGAATAACCGAGACACGAGCGCAGCGTTTCTAGAACACATACAATAAGAAAAAAACCAAAAGACAGAGGCACCAGTTTCAACAACAAAAAGATCTGTGGAAACAGTCTAGAATCTGGGGAATGGCCCATTTATGAAGTGTACATATTTGTGAAAAGGTGCTGCAATCAGTTCCCTGGGGAAAAGGACTGCCAATTAAACAAGTCATTTTGGTTCCAATTTGACATCAGTATTTTAAAAAAGGAATCTTTAGCTCTACCTCCAATAAGTACATATGAAATAGATCATAGACCCCCTGTAAAATGTATATAGCACAACTGTAGAAAAAAACAGGGGAATATATGCTTATGAACCTGGGTTATTCAACATTTTTAAAACAGGGCACAAAAATCACAAGCATAAAAGGGAAAAAAAACAAGACACATTGTTTTTCATTGAAATTAAGGACTTTTCTTTATCAGCAGGAAAGTTAAAGGAAAATCTAGATATAATTGTCCCCAAAGGACCACTATTCAGAATACATAAGGAGCTCCTACAAATCCATACAAAAAAGAGAACGGAACTGAACATTTTCAAAAGACTTGAACACTTTCCAGATGAGGATGCCAGAAGGTCAATAAGCTTATAAAGTGACTCCACATCATTACTTGTCAGGAAAATACAAATAAAAGCCAGAATATATGCCACTATCCAGCCACTTCGAATGGACAAAACTGTAAAAGAAAGATTGACCACCTTAAGTATTTACATGGCAAGGAAGTGACAGAATCCAACTATATGGCTGTGGGTGTGCAAACTGGTGCAACCAATCTGGAGAACCATTTGGCGGTGTCAACCGACTGAGGAGGAGTAGATGGTAACACACGTGTATCCATATGTGAAATATCACTGAATTTCACACTTAACAACATGTACATCATATGCATATTATGCATGAAACATGATGGTAATTATAAAAACTCTGATTTTCCCCCTCACCTGCAATGCTGTAAAATGTTCAGTTTTAACAAATAACATGATGGTGAAGGCATTTTTTTCAGAAAGGAGGCGAAAACAGATTTCTGGTTCATTTTTTCCCCCCAGAATCCCATTCACATATACCATTTCACAAATTATGCATTTCAGCAAAACAACGAGAAGAAATACATTTTCTTCACTTTACTAGGGAAAAAGGATCCCCAAGGCTCTAAGAAGCGTCGCAATGATGGAAGCGTAAAAAAGAAACTATCTTCTTTTATAAAACGATTGTCCTGATCATATTATGTATCGGTATTTCAAAAGAAATGTTATCCAATAGAATTACACTGTATCTGGCCATTTCCTTCTCTCGTTTCATTTCTAATATATCACCCAATTATGTCTAAAAGAAATAACTTGGTAATACAGATGAGACTCTGTGCTGAATTTGCAAAGATGGGTAGTTTTGACTGGAATAAATTCACAATAGCAGCCATAAGTTTCCAATACATAGGTCGACATTTATTTTAATAGATACATTTTTTTTCTCCATTCTGGTGTATAATGACATTTATGGAAAGCTTCAGGCTGACCTAAAGGCTCATATGTGACCATGATTCAGGTTTCACCAATCTAAAGCATGTAAGTAAGGCTGCAAAAAATGCCATCACATCCTTTGAAAATTCCCATTGGTCAGCAGTTCTTGGTTCCAAATGATTTTGGGTAAGTGCATTCCATAAAGCTTTAGCCATGTAGAAACATCATCTTAACATTGTCACCAAAAATAATTTGATACTAAAAGAAGCAGATGGTGTGCAGTGCTTCCTGTGTGCAGGCACTTCATGCAAGCAGACCATGGGCCAACATTCGTATTAGGAGCAGAGCTGAGACTCAAACACATGTCTCTCTCGGTCATTTTTTTTATTTGGTTTTTGTTCTTTTTCTCCCTGAAATAACATCAAGCGTCAGCATGGCATGTCAGTCAAGCTCCAAGGCCGTGGAAGGAGAATAACCCGGGTGTCGTTCCCAGGTCCGCCGCTCACCACCTCTGGGGCCTCAGGTGGACTTCAGCCTGGGCCCCTCGTGCAAACGGGGCCAGCAACACAGGTAACCTGGCTGAGTCACCACGAGATCCTGGGGGCCAGGCGCGTGGCCGGTCAGTGGCACAGGGCCCTGTGTCCAGCGAGCACTCCATAAATGAAAGCCGTATTTATTACGCCATCCTGTTGGGGGGGTGGACATGTTCTTTCTTGCTGTGTTCCCTGTAAACACACATCCCTGGCATCTTCCCATGTGCCCCCTACTCTCTTCTGATAAGGACACTGGTCACGCTGGATTACAGCCTACCCTCATGACCTCATTTTAGCTTAATCACCCCTTCACAGGCCCTGTCCCCAAATACAGTGTCATTCTGAGCTACTGGAGGGTAGGGCTTCAACATAGGAATTTTAGGGGGACACCAGTAAGCCGGTAACAGTATATATACTAGGATGATAGACTCAGGCTGCCATGATACAAATGCCACCCTTTCATTAACCTCAACAGTATTTTCTTTGTCTCCAACAGATATTCCCAGCCAACCCTTAGGGTTATATCCATAAATTTCGTGAGCACCCATCCCTCCAGGGCCTCGGTGGCTGTGGGAAGGAACTGCCTTTTGCTGCAGGGGAGGCAGGAAGCAAATGGCTGAGTCTGAATGGAGAGCGCCGGGCTCGGACCTCACCTTACTCCGTGCACTCTAGGAGGGGCATCTCTGGGTGCTGTGTGAAGGAAACGGCGGGGACAGAGTCGGTGGCCAGTTATGGAGCCACTTCGGTAACCCAGTGAGGCAGGTGGTGGAAAAGGTCCCACTGAGGCTCTGTCTATATGTGGAGCAGAGCTGAGCCTCCTGGGACTCGGAGGGGGTCCACGTCAGCTCAGGTGCACAGATGCCCATCTGTCTCTCCTCAGCGCAGGGAATGGGGCTGCCTCCGTCACTGCTTTAGACCACAGTAGGGACAGCTGCCCTGTGGGCGCTCACTGGCCCCCACGTGTCAGGAGGAGGACAGTGCAGGGATCTCTCTGATGTTCAGGGACACACAGGGGAAGCCCAGCCTTTGACTCGAGGCCACCAACTCATTTCCTTTCCACCATTGCTGCAGATTCCCTATTTTAACCACAAGCTCTGGGAGCTTCCAATCATGTGCCCACCAGTCTGTTTTCTGGTAAGTCGTGCGTGTGGCTTTGGCAAGCTCATCACTTCACTCTGGCTGGCCGATGCAGAAGCATGGCATTTCCACAGTCTAGTGTGAGTCCGAGGGCAGAGTTTATCCATAATTGGCAAGACAATGCCTAAATGGCCATGCCATAAATTGTTACTCCTCTGTGAGGTTTAAAAGCAACTTCAATTA